TGTCGTGCGTATGGGACGGTTGTCTGTAAAGCCCAGCGCACACGTGAGTAATTTTACTCAAGTGAAATGGTGCATGCGTCAAAATACTCAACGTGTGTGCGCACTAGCTGCGTAAATTTACTCAACACTGGTACTCACAGCGCATGCGTTTAAATCATTTTAAAGATGACTGCGCCCAGTATTGGCTGCGCACAGTCACATGATCTACATTACCACTTGTACCTTGAGTAAAATTACTCACGTGTGCGCCGGGCTTAAGGGTTTGCGCGCGGGTGTTACTGTTACGTCAGTAGACATGTACTACTAAAGGTTGCTCATCTCGGGCATAGTGAGCGCCTTCCATAGTTTGCCCCCAATTTCGATGATACTTAACGAAGAGTTAAACGAGATGAGAATCTCTGGGTTTCAATCGTCGTCGCGAGTTTCACAAACCTCAGTCTGCAGATATTGTATTATTAATCTAGATATCATTAATTATATTATTATAATATTAGTCTAAATATGAACCTGCGTCGCTGTCGCGTGGCAGAGAGGCGGACGGTCGGAGTTCAATGCGGCGCATAGTTTGCAGACGCGCACACGCTGCTACTCGCGCAAATCCTGAAAAATCTAGCGTGGACGCGTGCTCGTCGAATGGATTGATCAGCGGATCAATTCCTCTGCCCAGCTAACTGCAGCGCGCTACTGGCGAGCCTTTGTCAGTTGCTTCACTCCGCGGTGCGTCTACAGTGTGTGTGCGCGATGCCAGTCTGACTCTCGCAAAGCATTGCAGGGGTAGAAATTAGTTTGAAAATTTACACGCCAGCTGGGCCTGTAGAACCCTTTATAGGCCCGCCAGGCAAATTACAGGCCCGCATCATTACACGGATACGACTTTGTTTTTTAAATAAGACTGAAATTTGAAAGTTTTACAATTGTTTATTTACAGTAACCTGAGGAACATATTCAGTGACTACTAGTGAGCGATACTGCGGTAACCTTTCATCCTCGCTGGCGTGCCGGAGATGGTTTTGCATGCTAGGGTTGGATTTTCTACGGGCTCGTCGGGCTTGCTATTATTAGAAATGTCAGGCCCGAGCCTTAAAATACGGACATCGGGCCCGCGGGCTCGTTATGATTTCGACCCATGCATTGTTACGAATACTCGCATTCTCCTATATCTCCGTGTTGCTTGGATTACGATAAGCATATCTGCACTCAAGACCATTATTACCGTAGGGTCCCTATGTACAGAGAGTTGCGCCATGACGAGTCGGAAAAAATCGGT